TGCACGATTGCATATGTTTGTGCACGACACGACATGCAGAGATGTGGCAGGCCAGAAAATGCATCCTGCTTCAAGTGCAACGCCAGCTCCTGAGAGGAGCGATGTGCTTTTATTGCACACTGAAGGAACCTGTGTGAGTGTGAATTCACAAACACACCAAGAGCCCTACAATATCACACATATACGATTCACATCATAAATTTCTGCATACATACATACATACATACATACATAATACATACAGACATACACATATAGGTTTGGGGGTGGGAACAAAGGTATTTGAAGTGAGGGTTTCGGGGGGGGGGAGTGGCATTTTGATTTTTGTTGGGGAGGGTCGGTTTCGCGGCAGGTGGTTGGGTGGGAGGGGGGAAGGGTTTAGGAGGAAGGTCGGTTCGTTTTGGGGGGAGGTCGATGCGGAAGGGGAGGAGGGTCGGGTGCAGGGCACGTTTGGTTTTAGGTTTGGGGTTGAGGGCTGGGGTTTACGGCTTAGGGTTGATGAACCCTGAACCATGAATCCTGAACCGCGAAGTTTGGTAACAGGCAGATGATGAAAACAATTATAATTACTTATAATCCCAATCAAAGTCCCATGATCCTCCAGTTACTGTTCATGAACCCGTGGTCGACTCAGGCTGCTGCCAAGCGGATCATCACGCTCTTCACGGCATCCTGCGCAGGTCGGAGGACAGACTCGGGGGGTTCGTGAGGTGTGGTGGTGGTGGTGGTGTGTGGGGTGTGGGTTGTGTGGGGTGTGTGGGGGTGTGGGTGTGGGTGTGGGGGTGTGGGGTGGGGTGTGGGGTGTGGGGTGTGGGTTGTGGGGTTGTTGGGGTGTGTGGGTTGGGGGTGTGGGGTGTGGGTGTGGGTGTGGGGTGTGGGGGTGGGGTGGTGTGGGGGTGTGTGGGGTGTGGGTGTAGTGGGGTGTGGGGTGGGGGGTGTGGGTGTGGGGGTGGGGGTGGGGGCGTAGGTGGCGGTGGTGGTGGTTGTGGTGGTGGGTGGTGTGGTGGTGGGGGTGGTGGTGGTGGGTTGGATTATGTGTTGTGGGGTGTGGGGTGTGGGACCAGGTTGGCCAGTGTGCCTCTTCAGCCATGACACGCCCCCACAACCCACCACACACCTCTCCCAGGCCTGTGTGAGGCACTATTTCAGTGCCGGTTTTGCCCTCTCTCAGCGGCCGGGACCACTCTCACGGCCCCTCGGTTCGGTCCTGTCTCAGGACCGGGGGACCACTCTTCACAGTGGCCCCATGTTCTCGGTACTCTCTCGCTGCAGACGGAGGGATGCCTCTCAGCACCCCTTGCACTGGTGGGGATCTCTCTCAGAGCCACGCAGAAGCCAACCATGGAACGCACCCAGTCCTTGCCGAAGTGCTCGTAGATGTTCAGTAGTCAAAGATCAGGCCGTGGGGAGAAGTACGTCGATGGCGAGGAGAGCGAAGAGGGGGAGTAGTGGGGGAGTTTGGTGAGTATTTGGGCCTTAGGGGGGATGGTGGTGGCGGCATCTGGGGCTTAATGTGGGTGTTATTATGAGGATTTAAGTATTAAGGTTTTCGAATTTACAATCACATATGGTCTAAGGGTCTAAGGCTCTGGTTTTTTTTAAGGGCTTATTAGATGAGCTAGGGCGGAAACGTATTTAAAGGGCGGCTAGACGATTTAGGGCCCGAGGATTCAGCGTTTTAGGGCAGCCCAGCAAAGGTTTTACAGGTTTATATTTAGGGATTATTGGATTTGGGAACCACAAGGCCACCCTTGAAACTCCAACCCCCTAAAGTTCAATGACCCGTGCTAAAGCACACCCTTTTCATTGCTTTGCAAAAACCAACGACCCTTCATGGGTCAAAATCTCCTAGAGTTTGGAGCCCTCTAGCGTTGTTATTTGGTTGGAGCAATTGCAGAGTTGTCTCTTCCGAAAAATATCATGTCCAAACCAATCGGCTGCTTCGATTGGGGGGGGGGAGTGGGGGAGAGGTCGCTTGCGGAAAACGATTTCCTTTTTTTTTGATGGTTTATCTTAAAATCCGGAAATCCATCTTCTTGTGACCTTGCCTTTCAAAAGGTTTTTCTTTCACTCGTTGTGAAACACACAAGATCAGGTGTCACATTCAGGATGATCCATTCCTGTGTTTGCAGTGCCATTTTTTTTAACAAAAACCAAAAAGGAACAGAGCCCTGAGGAAAAGGGACGGATGCCACGACTGAAAAAATTTTAAGCCCCCATTTAACAGAACGGTACAAAAACATGATAAGACTCGGGAGGGAGCGATTTGCAGTGCTCCTCAATGTGGGTTCGGGGGTAGTGCCGCCACGGCTGATCCACTCGATGGCGGGCATGAGAGTCCTGGTGTGGCGTGAGTGGACGGGGTTGTAGGATCTTTCAATGGAGCGCTGTCAAGACACGATTTCCTTAAAACCACTATACAAGCAGGCACTGAATTGTTTTGTGGCTGAAGGAGGGTTCCTGCTTACGGGATTCTATACCAGTTTGGGGGGGTGGGTTTTGGGGTGCACTACACCTGGACCCTTGACGTTTAAATTTCTGAGGGAGTCCCCTTGACCAGGTACTTATGTGATTGAGGCGTTGGGGTTTGGGCTTGATTCGAACAAAGGGTTTTTTCGGCAAAGCCCTCAAACCCCATTCCCTCGCACGAACCTAGCCTGGGGCCTCGTGTGTAGTAGTGGCACGGAGCTGGCGACTGGTAAGTTAGAGTCTACAGGGTAACTATCGCAGAATCAGGTGGCCTTGTAGAGGGTTCCGACAATCAGGGTAGCGACTCTTTATGAAGAAGGGAGCCGGAAAATCTCACGCTGGAGGGAAAGAAGAAGGGAAATATGCAAACACACCACTTGCAACGGAAAACCAATCTGTGAAGAACTAGCAAACACACAATTGGTGCAGATCCCTGGTCTTCTCGACTTCTGCTGAGCCGTTTTTTCCAACAGTTCTGCAAAATAAGGGGCTTCATGATTAGCATATGGAATTGGGTTTTCGGCGGTTTGCTAACCTTTCTCTCTCGCTCCTCTCTCGCTCTCTCTTCTCTCTCCTCTCTCGCTTCTCTCTTCATTCCCTCACTCTCTCTCCTCTTTCTGTATAGGTAATCTCTCTCATATATATTCCTCCTTCTCGTTCCCTCTTCTCTCCTATTCCTATCTACTCTCTATCCTCTCTCCTTTTTCTCTCCATCCTCCTTTCTCTACTATATCATCTCTCCTCCTCGCATTCCCGCTCTCTCTCCTATCTCCTCTATCCTCTCTCCTCTCCGCCTCCCTCGCTCCTCTCTCCTCTATCCCTTCTCTCCTCTTCTCCTCTCTCCTCTTCCTCTCGAACTCCTACTCCCTCTCCTCCCTCTCCTCTCTCCCCTCTCCTTCTTCCTCTTCATCTCTCCTCTATCCTCTCTGCTATCTCTCGCTCTCTTCTCGGCTCTCGCTCTCGCTCTCGCTCTCGCTCTTCGCTCCGCTCTCGCTCTCGCTCTCGCTCTCGCTCTCTCTCTCTCTCTCTCTGTCTCTCTCTCTCTATCTACTCTCCCTCTCTCTTTCTCTCTCCTTTCTCTCTCTCTTCTCTTTACTCTCTGTTCTTTCTCTCTCTCTCTACGCTCCATCTCTATCTCTCTCTCTCTCTATCTCTCTCTCGCTCTCTCTCTCCTCTCTCTCTCTCTCTCTCTCTCTCTGTCTGTATATATGTATATATACATCTATGATGTATATATATATATATATATATATATTATCTATGTTATATATATATATACACATACATACATAGTGTAGCGGAACAACCGTGCTGCGCAAGGCTAGCGTCAAGAGCAGACAGGATACCCGCAAAGTCTCGTGGACAGCCTGGCTGGCTTGCGTATATGATACGTCCCTTCGGGCAACCTCTCCCTCCAGCAGGGTTCGTGGCTTGCGTACTTTGTGGTTGGCCTGCAAAGATCTCCCGCAGCGGCTCCACGAGGGGGTCCTGATTTTTGCAAGGGCCGTGCACCTGCAATCCGCACAGCGCGTGGACGATGGTGAAGCGCACAAAGAATGACAAACAACGGGTTCGCCACCTAAGGTGACCGTCCGTGAAGCCATATGCAGCCTTCAAATTACAATCGGACCTGAAGGCGTGTGCTCGGCAACCCGAACGCATCAAAGACTTAACCAAAAACCCAGATGGAGAAGCGCTGAAGGCCACTTCAGCCCCCAATATAGCTCCCAGGCTGGACCCTAAACCAAACCCTAACCCAAAGGCTCTAAGGACTCACAGTTTGAGCCTTTAAAGACCATGTCATGTAAGGCTTTTGGGCCATTTTGAGCATTAGGGTGTGCCATGCCAAGCTCAACCTTGAGAGTCTTTAGATTTTATAGGGTTCAGGTCTTGGGGACTTTAGAACCTCAGAGAACACTGATAAGCCCTAAAGCAGTCTCGGAGAAGAGGAGACCCTACTCCGTCCTAAAAGCAATAAAAAGAATCCAACCCCGAAAGCGAGACATCACCTCCCAGTGGATCAAAAAACCCTAAACCCTAAACCCTAAACCCCAAACTCCTTGACCCCCTAGTCCCTGAACCCAAAACCCTACACCCACAGTGGTCCTCGTCTGGATCTTTAACCCTCGGCTTCGAAGCTCCTCTTGCAGAAGCCAAGCAGCCCATTGCCACTCACTCGCCTTCGAAATTCCCCGACAGAGGCGTCCTTAATGATTGGAATAGAGCTCCTTTGTGGGCCCCTTTGAAACTCTATAATGGCTACAATAAGGCCAATAAGGGTTGCTATAATGGGTGTCTATAAAGGTGACGTTTAGGGTTGTCAGAGGGAGGCCGTAAGAAATGGCACAGAGCTTTACGAGTATATTCAGTATCAGGGGCTTGGGTTTAGGGTTTAGGGTTTAGGGGTTAGGGTTTAAGGGTTTAGGGGTTTAGGGTATTATCGCTGGTTAACTCGACCCATGCAAGAGAGCTTCCAGAGTCATAGCCGGTTTCGGTCTTGATCAGAATGGGGTTCTGGGGTCACACCATACTTAGATAGGGCCTGAAAGGGGCACCGAGGAGCTGCCATGACCCTCAACCGCTGGGCCGACCTCTTTGATTTTGGGGTCCGACAACAAGTGGCATTCCACCGCCGCCAGCACGTAGTCCTGCTCGCTCTTCGACCACAAGCACCAAGCTTTCTTCTGGTTGCCCTGGTAAGGCAGTGCCTTCTCTGGGTCAGGCTTCGGTGACTCTTTGACGACGATCTGCTGGTTATCGTCCAGCACCTTCCACCCAGTGCCCCCCGACCACGACAGGGTCTGGCTTGCCTTGCTGACAAACTTGTGCCCTTTCTTGGTCTTCTCGCTCCAGAAAAACTTCCGGTTCAGATACAAGTCGTGGTAGAGCTTCCGATGCTCCTCCGGAGCCCTTTTCGTGATCGTCCAGACGAGCGTCTCCTTGTCGATCATGGCTATCACCACTACAGATCCAGACCCCGATAGAAGGATTTTGGGATTGCTACACCATAGTAAACCCTAAACCCCTGAACCCTAGAGGGGCTGTAGGCCGGTAGGGTTAAGCACTCGTAGACCGTCTGAGCCCTCATGGTTGAGGATGTTAATGTTGTACTGCCCAGATCCCAAGCCCTGTAAGCCCTAGCTCAGTGGTGCGAACGATGCCCTGAGCCCCATTTTTCGAAGTTCCTCGATGTAACATTCGGGCATCAATGATTGGACTTCGGTACTAGGTTTAGGGTTTAGGGGTTTAGGGGTGTAGGGGCTTAGGGTTTAGGGTTTAGGGTTGGGGCTGTGATACCTCATGAGACTATTAGGAAAAGCACTGCGACCTTTATGTTTCAACTTCTGCCCACCTTCTGCAAGGCTGTGATGACCTCAACAGCCATGCCATGCATTTCGGGGCATCACGATTAGTAGTGTAACGTGTATGGGGCCTTATTAGTTAGAAAAAAGCTTGGAAGGGATACATTATGGTAACTATAAGCATACGGGGGCTACAAGGGGACAGTTTTGCTGATGATTGCGACCACTACATTAGCACAAAGGTTCTACGGTAGAGTAAAACATCAACTCCGACACAGACAGATGTCTTTAGGTGTGAGCATTGAACCGTAAAATTCAGGGTTCGCGCCTGGGGCTTTGGCAATGCCGTTTTGAAGTAGTTCTCTCACAGATGATGTCTGCTCGCGCTTGCTGTGGGTCTTCGCATCGGGCTTAGCTACACTACCTAACAGCAGGGATCTAACATATCTAGTACGTATACATCCCCCCAGATTTTGAGATAGCTCAACAACTACTAGGGCTACTGGGCTATACACAATTCGCGATTGGTGTAGAACTTTTTGTTGACAGAACTGGAACCCAAGGGCATCCTCGCACTTACGCTGACACTCAGACCTTGAACCCTGAGCCTAAATTTGCACTGAAACCCCAAAGAACTGAACAAAACAACAAAAAACAAAAAATATACATATATATATATGTATATACACATATGTATATATATATATATGTATATATATAAATTTTTTTGACTTTGAGTGCGCAGCCGGTCGAGCCTGGCCTAGCGACGAGTCTGGAGACAGGCGTTTAATCGCCCGGCCTATGGCGTGCCTTGTTTTGGCACTCTCGGAACGAGCTAACGAAAGAGCGACATCCTGCGCCGAAGCGCCCGAGGATGTACATGAGACATCCAATGGATATAACTGAACCATAGATCAGGGACGTTGTAATCTGTAGAAGAGGACATATCCTTCCAATTGTAGTAAGGATGTTCTCGCACTCAAGGTGTCCGGCGAGGCACAGACTCCATCATCAGTGAGGTAGGTGTACAGGCTTTGTGGAAGCGCTCCCACAGGATCAGATGATGTCGCTCTTGTGACACTGTCTTCGGCAACAAGCAGGGCCCGGTAATGACCTTGCGTGGCCTGAGCACCCCTATGCAAGCAAACCGCCTCAAGACAATAGGCAACAGCGATGGTGTCAAGCTCAGGTCCAGTAAACATTGGAATATGGATGATTCGCTGACAGTCAATCGGTGTGCAATCTTTGGAGGATTCTGCGAATCGGGCGATTTGCACAACAGCAAGCCTTGGCAAAGGCTCATTGAGGGCCTGCACGTGGCCCTGAGTGGACCACAAGTTGATCAGCCCTTGCACATCATTGCTTGCAGAAGTAAGCGGCAGGCGAAGCACAGCTGAACTCTCGGTGGAAAGAATGTCAATACCTTGATCAGTCTGCACACGGGCCTGAGATTGCATCATGATATTGGTGATACCAAGGGCCGACACCAAAAATTGTGCGAACTCGGCCACATCATGCTGCCTGTGAGGCTCCTGCCAGTCGCGAGTAAAACGCAACCAGTCTGGTAACTCCAGGAGACAGGTGCAATTGCGGACCTGAAGCAACGACTGTATGAATACTCTGGCGTCTGGGGTAACCTGTGCAGCAGGATGATCAATGGGCCAGCTGCTCCACAGCCATGCAAGAAGAAAAGAGTGTGCATAACACAGGTTAGACGGATTATGAAGCCTCAGCGAGAGGACAGCTTGGCGATCTGCATCTGTATGTGATTGGCCAATGCAGACCTCTGCAGCTTGTCCGGCCGGATGTTGAACGATGCCACTTGGGTGATGGCACACTGGATCCCTCAGAATGGTGTATGCTTCCTGAGCTTCCGCAGCCCGGAGTCCTATGTCCATGACAAATGCGATCACCGGCGCCTCTGAAGTCTCGGTGAGAGGACGAAGGGAGTGCAGGCGATGCAACACATTCGGAGTGGGAAGCAGTTCCTCCAGCCTCCGCAAGTCCTTCAGAATCAGGGAGTGTGCGATAGGGTCCTTGCTGGCATCGACCTTGTGGGATTTGGACTCGGAATCCCAGAGCAGATAGTTCCAGTTGCCGTCCTCGGTAATCCAGAGATTCTGAACCATCTCTTCCCGGGACTTGGCCATTCCTTCTTCCGCTTTCCGGATCACCTCCCCGATCATGAAGAGTCCCATAGTCACCCTCAATGACATGTTGACCAGCTGCTTCTCCTTCTTTTCTCGCCAGACCTTGGCTAATTTCCACAGCTTGCTCGGAAGGGCTTGATCGTGATTGGAGCAGAAGAGCACGAATCGAGTGTCCAGAGCCTGCAATGCCAGGGCATCCTCGTGGCGAAGAATGAGTCTGCAGAGGCTGGCCACCACCTGTTGCAGGAAGAGTAGCTCGGACTTGCGGTGATCGGCTCGATTTCCCTGTCCATCCAAACCACGCTGATATTTTCCCTTGGGGTTGCCCTTCCCCTTTGCCAGACCTTGCTGCTTGTTGGTGCGCTCCGCTTCCTCTGGCTTCCCCTCCCATCGTGGGAGCCTCCAGCGAATTCGAGCCTGGGGCGGCCAGGAGAGGAGACGGCGCAAACGTCATGAAGCGGCGGTTCCTTTGCAGTCGGCCTGTGCGGGAACAAGATGCTCTCAAGAAGCATACAGCAGCAAGGGATGAGGCAATGACGTAAATGAGCATCGCGCCTGGTGAACGGCTTCCCACACCAGACGCAGGGGTTCGGGGTGGAAAAGGAGCGTACCCGAGCTTCGCACTGCGAGAGGAGTGAAGCGTGTTGAGGATGTTTAGCTCGTATGTGTGATTTAATATAGCCTGGTTGGAGGACATACTTGTGGCAAATCGGACAGTGATGCTCAAGGGACTGCACAACTGAGGGATGTCGAAGGATGGAGTACCAGGGACCCTGCTCAAGCTTTTGTTTAATGTCAGGTCTCTGTATCAGCGGCAAATGATCCGATTGCTCCGGCGGGATCACATGAAAAGTGTCACCGTGGAGGGCCGCATGAGCTCTGAGGCCAGCACATTGTTTGTAAGCAACATGCAGGTTGAACTCTGGCCAGCCCCAGAATTCATGATGACAGAAAAAGCACTTCGGCATGCCCCCGCGACTAAGAGCAACACAGTCTTTGGTCAGGTGTTGATGCCAATCGCCCCGAAGACTAATCTTATGTGCCTTAGCCAGGTGCTTGTGCATGTGTGTGATGTCAGCAAACTCCTGACCACATTCTGGACACGCATGAGTTTCAAGAGCAATGTTGGTGATCTCAACTAGCCTGGCTGATCCACTTTCAGCAGCAGTGCCAGACTGCTCAGCCATAGCGTTTTGCCAGCTGAGAATAGTGCTGCGACACAGTTGGTGCCACTCTCCCACACGGGGTGGTTGCAGGTCCGAATGCAAAGCAGCTTGTTCGCAGCATCTCTCGGCTTCTTTCAGAAGGGCCGTGTGCAGAGGTTCAACCTCAAGCCGAATGAGAAGGTCGCTGGTCCGTTCTCGAGTGTGAAAACTGTGGCTCCGGCTGACAGACCGCAGTTGTTTAGAGACCAATCCATACAAATCCTTGAGGATGTCATCAGTGACTCCAGTAGCAGCTAACCCGTACAACAAGACCGGTTGCACAAGGGATTTCCACAGCTGAACACGTGTGGAAAGAGTGAGCGCCCGGCGATCACGAAGAATGTTTCCTAACCGAGTGAACGTCTGAACGGCCTTCGTCCTGCGGGATTGATATGTCATCATCTCAAAGTTGCGGAATGAAATGATAGCACCCAGATAAGGATGCGAGGAGCGCAAAGGCAGTTTCCACCTACCCGCGCAGACTCCTTTACCAGTCGGCAGTTTGCACAGCACTGATTTAAGAGCTTGGGATGCCTTCGGGCCACGAAGTTCCAGCAAAATGACAGATTTGTCTGGGCTGACCTCGAGCTCATGTTCTAGAAGCGTGTCAAGTACGCAGGCAGCCTCCCTTAGGCCGCGTCTGAGTGCGGCAAAGGAGCGTATTTCCCAAGTCCCCAGGGTGTCATCCGCATAAAGGGTGAGGGATTCCCGCACGAACTGAGAGGATGTTCGGAGCTGAATACAGTGTGTCAAGTATCCAGAGGTGATCGCCCATAGCTGGGGAGCGAGCGGACATCCCTGCCTGATGCCGCGCCCTGCAATAGCCTCAGAGTCAAAACCAGGAACCTGAAACCTGATTTGAGAATGGAAGGAGAGGATAAGTTCTGCAAGGCCAGTTGGGACATTGGCATGGAGCAAAGCCTCCTTCAACACCCAAAAGGGGATGGAGTCAAAAGCACGTGAGAGATCAACACTCAGAGCCAGGCCACCCGCCAATGCAAGTCTGTGCTTGCCAGCGCGAGCAGTGTGCACGTTGGCCTTTTGAGACTGGAGAATCTGTCGAATGACAGAACAGTGCGACATGGCCTTTCCAAGTGAGTCGGATGTAGACCTCCCCTCCAAATAAGAGAATTGCGGAAGATCGTGGAGGTACGCGTTGGAGTACGGCTTGAGGCGTTGAGCAAGAACCACTCCGAAAGCCTTCGACACAGGATCCAGCAAGCTAATGGGTCTCAGGGCCTTGGGGTGAGATGGCAGTTTCGGAGGTTTGGGTAGGAGAGCGAGGTATGCAATCACCCAGGCATCGCAGAAGAGTATCGGTCCCTCTGGAAACTGAGCCTGCGGAGCAATCGTGTCGGCCAGGAGATCGGCACATTCCTTCCAAAGAAGGGCAGGAGCATAGTGTTGTGGAACGGCTTTGCGTGCCGCTGTCTGGGAGAGCGCACTCATCCATTCGGACCATGAAATATCGACGCCCTCAGTGAGCCCTCCAGGTGGTGGAGCATGATCAGGACTGTTGTAGAGCTGTCTAAAGAGTTGACCCGCCTCGTCCTTCAGTTGCACACGGGTTTTCTTGGTACGAGGAGCAAACCTCTTGGTCGCCTTGAAGACTCGAGACATCAGGTTGCCAAAGCCTGGCCGATTGATTTCCTCCAGGAAGGCAGCAAATGCATTCTTCTTGCGCTCTTTTGCAGCTTTGGCAAGGGCTTTCTGAAGCGAGGCAAGACGTCTCACCTGCACCCACCGCTGGAAAAGTAGGGAAAGCGTAGGTCTCACCTGACGATGAGTGTTCAGTGTTCGTCTAATCTGCCACATGTTTCGTACAGTGTCACGCTCAGCTGCCGGACGAACTGATTTGTTGGTCGGGGAGTTGACCGGAGCACACAGCTGCCAAGATTGCAGGAGGACCTGATTCAGTTGTGTCAAATCAGTATTAGTCTGAAGCTGTAGACTGACCTGGTGCCTAAAAGTAGTTCGCAGCTTGGGGTCCGTAGCGAGGGCCGTGTGCACCTGTTGCATGGTCGGCACGGTGGGTCCTTTGCGCACCGTCCTAGGAGGTTTCGGAAACGGAAGGCTGCCACCAATTGGAACATGATACATGCCCTGGGACGGGAGCAGTGCACATTCGTGCATCGGTTTGGCCTGTTTGCACAGGGGGTCGACGGAGGCTCGACGGGTGAACACATGATCAATCAGTGATCCATGCTTGTTTTCTGGGGAGAGACAGAACGTCCTGCTGGGAGGTCCATGTCGACCCCAAGTATTAAGCGAAACCAGGTCAAAGTCTTCCAGGATTTGTGCATGTGCCTCCCAATCTGTTTGTACCGGAGTCAACGAAGAAGCTGGCACACCGGAACCGATGCGACCTAGCTGTGGCGGCAGTGATGTGTTCAGATCCCCAAGTATCAGCAATCCGTTCCTGAGGGGACACGAACGCAGCAGCTTGTTGAGCGATTGCAGAAATGTCTCCCTTCTGTCCAACAGAGAGGCCCTGGCGTCCTTCGACTGTTTGTCTTCCTTTCTATAATACCAGGTATGCTGATAGAGTGCAATCACATCCGTATGTGGTTCGCCCGGAAGGCGGATGTGCAGTAATCTGCCGGGAACACGCACATCAAACCGAATTTGCCGTGGGGAAGCAATAGAGTCAGGGATGACAGCGAGAATGCCCCCTGAACGCACTGCCTGCGAGCCTGTGTGTATGAAGGAGAGACCGCCTGAGGGACACGTCTCATGCCATTCAAGATCGTCACGCCAGAAAGTTTCGATCAAGATAAGAATAATGGGTGGTCTGTCGGCAATATATATACATACATACATACATACATACATACATACATATATATATATATATACATACATACATACATACAGACATACATATATATATATATATATATATATATATACCGTGTGCAAACGCAAAGCCGTATATATACCCTAAACCGGCGTGGCCCGAACTACTCTGCATGGACCCAGCGTGGGACTCTACAGCTCGGACCTGGACGTCTTGGGAGGCTCAGGCGACTGTACGGGATGTAAGAATCGGTTTAGGGTTTAGGGTCTGCGCTTTAGGGTTTAGGGTTTAGGATTTAGGGTTTGGGTTTTAGGGTTTAGGGTTGAAGGTTTAGGGTTTCGGCTCCTGTGCTGTATAAGTATATATAAGAATAAGACACCCTGGAAACATATTCTAGGTAATTGCTTCAGCTTCCTTTTTACGGGCTCTACCCCTACAAAGTTTAAGGGCCTGGGGGGTTGAGGGTTTAGGCCTTCAAGTTCAGGATCTGAGGTTTAGGGTTTAAGGTTTTGGGTTTATTTAGGTTCACCCTCAGTTCTCTACATGTATGCCGCTTACCGAAGGACTGGACCTGGGCGCCATGCCGTATTGAAGCTGATGATGTCTGGTACAAGGCCAGCGCACCTGCAACGAGCATGGCAGTCAAGGTTCAGTTGTGAGATTTTGTTTAGGAATGATATGAAACACCTGGACCGTAAAGCTTTACACCCGAAAGCCGCAAAACACATCCTTCAGTATGCACTGCACCTTTAGCTCCTAAACCCTAAACCCTTACCCCTAAACCCTACACTCAAACCCCAAACACTGCCAGCTGCTGAATGCCGAAATGCTAGACCTTCGAAACCCTGTCCACCCAGTAATCTACTCTACGGTCCCTGCATGACCCTACATGGGTAGTTCTCTAAATTAGGGTACCGTTTAGGGTCCTTTGTACGAGTGCTGTATTACTCTTGTATTTTAACTTTGGGAACTAAATGTAGCAGCTACCCATGCATGTGCTGTCTGTGCTGGGGTTTGGCTGAAGGTTAAGCTGAACAGCATTGACAGTACAGTTGTGGAGGTCTTCCGGTCTGTGTGTGCTGTTGGCACTTTCCAACATGACATAAGCCGAAAACCGCCAAAAAAAACAAACTACGTCCCAGCTCTACACGATTGGCTAGGGGATCTTAGAACTTCACCAAGAAGGCTGTCACCGAACAAGGGAGGTTTGAGATTCTTGCTCTCAGTCGTGGCTGCATGGGGGCTCATGACGGGCTTGGGGTTTAGGGGTTTAGGGCTTAGGGGTTTTAAAGGATTTAGGGTAATAAACGACACGTTTAGCTGGGCGTGGCTCCGGAATGCAGCACCAAGCAGTCTTACGTCAGGTGAACGCACATGGCAAGCTACAGTTACGGGAGCCGGGTAACCCTAAACCCCACACTCCCACAACCCCAAGCTAAAGGGGCCAAAGCCTTCAGCCTATCCCTCCAAGGATCTCATAGTTAGGGCCCTAGACCCCTTAAGGACCTCTTAATAAGGACATAGGGTTCATGATAGAGTACGTAGAGACTTGGGGTATATTGTAGTATGAATACAGCTAAGGAAACACCGAACTCCGGAAGCACGCAGTTCAGCTTTTCTCCTTGCGGCAGCTCAAACGTGTTTTGCCTCCTCCTTCAGAGGAGCAGCCCTAAAAACCCAAGCCTCTCAACCCCCCGAACCCTGCGAGTCCTAGCATCTATATCCCTAAACTCCATACCCTAAGCCCTGAACCCTGATCCCTAAACTCCATGCGACCCCAAACCCTCAACTCATCGTCCCTCCTCCTTCGGAGGAGGGACGTACACCAGTGAGCCTCGTCGATGGGCATCTTCTATAGCTTTGGGGTTTAGGCTTTAGGGCTTAGGCTTGTAGCGTTTAAGGGTCATAGGATTTAGGGTTATAGTTATAGGTGTAAGGTTTAGAGTTCATAAGGGTATATGGGGGGTTCCGAAAATAGGGGACCCTAATATAGTACCCTGAATAGTAGGATCCTTATTATAAGGACCCAAAATACGTTACCCCCGAATGTTCTGAAACCCCTAAACCCTAAACCCCTAAACCCTAAACCCTAAACCCCTAAACCCTAAACCCCTAAACCCTAAACCCTCTTGTATAAGGTTCACGGTTTGGGGCTCAGGGTTCAGGGTTATCGTTACCTTGACCCTGGGCCCCTAGCACCCACTATTTAGGAAACTGGGTCCTGAGAGAGAAAAACTAGGATCTTGAAGAATCTAGGCAAAGTGTTCTATTGCAACCACGGGTCTACCTGTAGTCTCCACTGTGGTTCCTCTTTTTGGGTTAACCCTAAACCCTAAACCCTAAACCCTAAACCCTAAACCCTAAAACCCCACGGCCTATAATAGAGTTTTTGGTTCACCAGAAAAAGGAACTACAATGGAGAGACTATAGGCTGAGCTCAGGTTCATCCGCATTAAAGGCTGCCTGTAGGAATCTGCAGCTTTTTTGCTTAAGTGCATCGGGCCTTTTTTTCGAGAAATCTCGAGTAGGCCCGGCTTGAGGGTTTAAATGAGTAACTGTGTGTGTATGTATGCATGAATATGTAAGCTTATATATACTATATACATGTGTATCTATATATATACATACATACCATTATGTATATATGTATGTATGTATGTCTGTATGTATGTATGTGTGTATATATATATATACACATGTATGTAGGGATATAAGGCCCAAAAATCAAAAAGGCCGATGATACTCCACTAGGAAGAAACCCTCATTTTCGGCTCACATTCGGTTCAGGAGTCTCCCCCCGGTTCTCCGAGAGAAGATCGGTACACGGGCTCTGTCCACATGTCGGCAGGTCCGGACAGCAAAAACACGTCAAATCAGATGCACCCAGAAGGCACCAATTAACGGTTAGGGCTTTGGGCGTTTACGGTCTAGGAAGCGGAATCATTGACTCTGAATCGTGGAGTTTGCGGCTTCTTTCTGTTTCGGACAGTTCAGAGCTGCAGGTTTGCATGGGAATCAGGGGCCGGTATTGCTTTGCAGTACGATGAGGACGCCCCCCGCGCATATGAAGATTGTCGGTGGAGGCAGACGTTGCACCAAGATAGATACCTGAAGTTCTGCGGGGCTTCTGGGATGTATCGGGTGTAGGTTTGATGGTTCCCGCTATGTGCCAAGGGGTCGGATCAACAAGCTTGTAGTTACTTGGAGGAAAGTGGTACTTAGAGCCTTCTCAACAGTGTCTTTCCCTGAGCCCAAAAAGCCTAAAACTCCAACACCAAAGCTATGCTGCACACCCAGCCGGTCCGAAAACTCTGCCAAGAGAAGCAGCTCAGCCAAGATTCCCGTGTCGAACAGGCGGTAAGCCTCGTAGCAAAAGACACCGTCGCACTCATCGCGCCGATTCATCAGAGTCTACACTGATAGACGTTGCAAAGGATGAACAAACTCTGATTTGACCCAAGATGTAAGAGTCAAGGACGCCAAGCCCAAAACCTGAAAGAGCTGTGATTAGAGTTTTTGTCTACGGTCTGAAAGCCAGAATTTGTCGCTTAGTGGGCAAAGTACACACCTTGACTAATCCCTGAGCCTTAAGCCCTAAACTCTCCCAACCCCCAAAAGGCCCGAGAGACGCCCCTGGCCAGGATGAATGCCCTCTTCTAGCTATTCAGGCTCCTGATACTACACCCTGGAAGATTGACATAGCAGAAGGCACCTGTTGCCTGCTTTTAAACAACCCCCTCCACACTAGATAGGATGGAGGCTCCCATATGTAAGGACTTTAATTATCCCCCAACCCATCTTCTTCCCAGCTTCCGAACCCATTGATCCAAAACTGTCCAAAAAGGGTTAAGGGCTTTCGAGCATGCTTTGCGGTTTAGTTAGGGTTTTGCGCGATAGGACACCCCTAACTGCCGCAAATTTCTGCTAAACCCTAAACCCTAAACCCTAAACCCTAGACCCTAGACCCTAAACCCTAAACCCTAAACCCTAAACCCTAAACCCTAAACCTCTGCGTGGTGCGAGGGTTTCCCCGGGCTGCTAAGCAGACACCAGAGATCGATGGAAAACATTTTCTGCTCGGGCTAGTGCCCCGATGAGCATGAGCAAAAGTTGGGGAGAAGGATTTAGTTTAGGGTTTAGGGTATAGGGTTCCCCTAAACAGTTTAGGGTTTAGGGTATAGGGTTCCCCTAAACTCTGCAAGAAACCCGTTCTATGCTCATGGCACATACTCGCCCGGAGAGTTCGTTCTGCGTTGGCTCCATGGGTCGACAGATCCTCGCACCCTTTTCGGTCCAATAGGGTTTATTCAAATGGACTCTATAAGGATTAAAGAGGGTTTCATAAGTCTTAATAAGGCTTATGAAAGGGCGCCACAGGGTTTTAGACTGGCTTTCAAAATGGCTTTGGAGCGCTTTCATACGGCTTAAAGGGTTTCATGTACTCTTGTAGAAGAAAACCTTAAACACCTAAGCCCGAAACTAAACCATATAAGGTCTATCCTACAGCCTAAGTCCTCCTAAACTAAACCGTATAGGGTTTACCCTAAAGCCTAGACCCACAACCCTAAGCCCAAAAACCCTAAACCTTCGACAAGGTTTGGGAAAATCGGGCGGCATCCATCGACCCCAGACGCCGCAATCCTTTGAGAGGCCCAGGCCGGAAAGTTGAAATCTTCATCTGGGCATCGGATTTCTAGGGTTTTCAGGTTTGAGAGCTTAAGGGTTAGGGTTTGGGGGTTTAGGGTGTAAGGGATGAAGAACTGGGATAGCTTCGATTGAGGGTTGAGGGCTTGAGCTCCTATCGCCACATGATACTCGAATCCCTGCATACTGCATCCTAGAAAACCATGGGTCGTCAGCCTTATGAGTCCAAAGCCCAAACCCGCGAGGGCCCGATAAGGTTTCAATCCAGATCACCAAAATCCCTCTGAGACCCCTTGGGAACTTTCACAAGTTCCGGACAAGTCGTTACATATAGAGGTCTCAATGTTTAGAATCGGGGCTTTGGGGGGTATATCCTGATATAGTGTGTGTGTGTGTGTGTGTGTGTGTGTGTGTGTGCGTGTGTGTGTGTATATGTATATGTGTATAATATATATATATATATATATATATATATATACATATATAGATATAGATATAGATATAGATATAGATATTAGTCCTCACTGAGCCAGAATGACTCCCAACAGAAGACGAGACTGTAGGCTCGTAGCAATAGAGACACCAAAAGCAGATAGTTCTTAATTCCCCTCCCCAGATTCCGCGTGATCTTGAAGAAAATGTCACGAACTCGATAAACAATGGATCCTCGAGCGAATCGCCACATAGCACAGCACACTAGTCCGGATTTGGTTTGACAACGTCTACTAATGTTCCAGCGAAGAAGAGCAGAAAAGTATGATTAACTGAGTAGTGCATCCATCTGGGAGTGTGCCAATACGGCAAGGCCATTCGGTGGGCGTCGCTGGCACGGGACGCCCAACAGGGTCGATTGCGTAGTCAAAGATCAGAGCAGCAATCTCCGTTGGAACTCTTCCGACAAAGGAAGCCGACGTGTTGCACGCGGTGGCTGGGATGGCTAGTTTAACTAGTTGACCCAGTAAACTGCGGAAGAAGCAGTGTGTTGGAGGAACATACTTCTTCAGTTTACTGATTTCGTGTACGGGACTCTGGAAGTAATCGAAGAATAGGATATGTGTGGGCGTGCGGTGGAGCGAAGCTCGCAAGGCAATCATGAGCATACCCGGTTCGCGGTTGTCGCTCTTTTTGATACACAGGCGCATGAGTCGAACTGTTGTGTGCTTACGACACAGCAATGTGCGCGAAACAATTACAATTATCAGTCCTGCAGTGAAAAAACAAACACACATGGATGGGATATTTTTCTATTTCGTCATATGAGCGGCGGCCTAAACCTATTGTTCGACCTGCTCATGCCGAGATCTCAGGTCGGCCCCTATCGGTTATGCAGGGATCAACTACAAGATGACAGAAGACTTACATGGGTCGGCCCCTATCGGTTTTCCTACTAGACCCTAGTTTTTCACCATCTCGGTTGCGCTCTAGTCATGTTAGCTCTTACGGAGGTTTTGTCCGATGCTCATATGGTAGCTAACGAAGCTGGCTACATAGGACTGAGCCGCACGGTGTGCAATGATACTTGTGTGACATCAAAATCACAAGTATAGGTGCTTCTGAAAGAAAACTTCACGGAAAGGTTTAGGCTAGTTTAGGCACTAACGAGCTTCTTGATACTCTGGCTGCAGAGCATACCGCAATGCAGCCACAAATCATCGTTCTTGTGCCAGTATTCGTACTGTGCAGTTCGAAGCTTGGCTCTCAGAGCCTTGCTGCCCGCGCGACAGTTCTGGTTAACGATGATTCTATCTTTCAGAAACCTCCATGCGCGATCGATGATTTGCGTGCCAGACTTCACGGTGATGGTGTGGTTGGTCTTGGGAACCTTGTGCTTCACGAGTTTGACGTAGTGCGGCTTCAACCAACGAAACTTGCCATCCACCTTGACCCTCTTCTTCGCATGGACCACACGATCGTGACTGACGCCGTCGATCTTCAACTTGTAAGACTTTGCCGAGTCGGTATGGAGAACAACACGACGATTTTGCAGGAGCTTGTTTCCGAGTGCTTTCCACTCTAGCTTCCTGATAACTCCAGGTCCTGGTGCTCGTTTAACTGTTAGCTTGGGGTCCAAGCGAAACAGCGCGAGAGTCTCAAGTTTGCCACGCTGCACGACACCAGCCCACTGTTCCCACAGCCTGCTGGTTAGGGAATACACAATCTAGCAACATGTGTATGAGACGAAGCGAAAGTATGACTAGGCGACGCAAACAAAAAACAGTGCAGTGTATCCAAGCAGCATTGTGGAATCTTTGGTCTTCACGAAGTGTTCCCACTGGATGTCGTTGCTGATGCCGCGTCTGTCAAACGTGGCCTCGTCTGCTTCTACATCCGCCCAGGTCGTGCCATTGCCGAAGATGGTGCTTTTCTGTTTGGATTCAACGTACTCCCGTCGCAGAAGACAAAGTTTCCGGTGCATCTCCTCGACAGCCTTGTGGTTGATGTCCATCAGCATGTGAATCTTTGATTGAGGAATTCGATGCTGAAGAAGCAGTAGGCGTGTTGACTGAGTCTGCAAAGACTTGGCCGAGTTGCCCCGTCCGTCCACAAACAAAGGGTGCAAGTGATGTGGGTTGAGCCACACACGGCAATTCCGTGATGAGCACTTGTGTTTCCAACTGTCACATCGGCACTTGGTTAGCTTGGAAAGCGTGCCTTTGCCACATCTGGGACAGGCGACGCCGGTCATGTCGAAGAGGAGTCTGTCCCGAACCAGAAGCTTGACGATGCCCTTGTTGTCGGCTTTCAAAAGGTCGGAGAGTGTACACTTCCATTTGGTTTGGTCTTGACGAAGACCACGTGGACCTACCAGGGCGTTCTTGGGGGTGTAGGGCACATCTTGCCAAGGCTTGGTTTTCACCATGGCTGGTTTTTTTCATGACCTGCCGGGCTTTCCCTTTGTTGGGAACAAATGACGAATTGACCCGTTTGGTCATAGTGCAGACAGCACCAAGGAAGCAATGATCTGAAAACCTACAGGTCTCTAGAGGTACCACAAGGCGCGCGAAAGATGTTATGGGAATGCAGACATGAGCGTGCAGAACGAACCTGCAGTGCATCGCAAAGTCCAGTCCTTTTTTTTGCTCGCCGCGAATGGTGCGTGTGCTGTGTTGGTACCATTTTCATGACTAGCTCCTCGGGCTCTGCCATACCTTTCAAACGTAAACATAACACAACCACTTCAAAGATGATGATGTGTATGTTGTGCTAGAAGGGTACCGGTGCAGAACTTTCCTCAAAACTTGCTGTAATCATACCACGGCATCTAGGTTTCGTCACTCACTTGGTCACCGAAGTCAAAGATATGAGACTCCGAAGGCGAAGCAACATCCATCTCATCGGGTGCTTCCATATCCGGATTTGGAATCAATCTCTGGGACGGCACAAAGGAAGCTGCACGATCAGACTGCGACGGCGATAGCTCGATGGTAGTGTTGGGACCAAGAGATCTACTCCATGCATGGCTGTTCAGGAGGAAAGTGGCATAGTCATGATCAAATTTCTCCTACTTGATTTTCCGTTCGGGAGTCTTTGCTTTGTCAAAAAGACGTGCTTGATGACAGTGTAGTTGCCACTCGACTGCTCCTGGATGAAGTGCTGTGTCTTGTAATCGAAATTGGGGTGGCCACGTAGCTTCATGAACACAGGCAGGTCGCCCCAAGCCTTGTTCTTAAACATTCCTGTGGGGTTATCGATGTCCAGGCCTTGGCAGCATCGTGGGATACATCAAGGAAGTGCGTCATGAGCTGGGCCGGAGAGGAAAGCCTTTGTAGCAGAATGAATGTGGCGTCAGTTCCAGAAAGCCCAAAGTCAAGTAATTAACATAATGAGTGCTTACACTTAGGATTTAGTTTCACCTCACATTAAGCGAGTTTGAAACAAAACATTCGTATTCCGTGAAAGCAACTCGCGGATGGGAAGACTCTTAATATATATTGATGGCACCCGATGGCATAGGGCCAACGCACACATGTTCGTGAAGCTCACGGAGCACCATCTGCTCCGTAGCCTCTTTGGCTTGTGCGAAATGAATGCTGTCGGCATCCATGGCGGGAAACGACAACGTCACAAATCGAGTGCTAGAGATTGATCCTCTCAGCGGCTCTGCTAGTACGCCTTGCATGTGTGCATGTGAGGACTCAATGTGAATGTCAGTGTGACATGGGCTTTCAGTCATGCGTTTGGAAGATAGATGAACTCTGGATGTTGGGCAGGTTCGCAGAGTCTTACGTAGAGTCGCAGATTCGCAGATTGTACAACCTTTACGATTTGGCAATCTGCGAATCTGGGATTCTGCGAATCTGCGAATCTGGGATTCTGTGAATCTGCGAATCTGCGAATCCACGAACGAAGTGATACACGAGTTCACTTTGCTTTGTTCCGACATTGAAGGCGTTCTGAGATACCCACTGCTATCATCATAGCATGACTGCCCCAACCACTGCACTCCACTGCCCTATGCATCATGAGCCGGAGTAGTAGTAAACAGTACGCAGCAAAAAGAAATAGCCGTAAAGCGACACTCAATGCAGTCAGCGGCAAGAAGCTCCAGGAAGTGCAGCCAAGATACCGGAGGCGTGGGGTCTTGGGGGGGGGGGGGGTACCATATAAATATGTACATATATACACGGTTGGTCGCCCGAAGATAGCGGAAGATATATCTTTGGTGCAAAAGCATAAACAGCTCTGTTTGGAGATAGCAAAAGATATATCTTCGGGCCAAGATAGGCCGAACATATATTTAGATATAAGAAGATATATCTTTTTTGATCGAAGATAGTGAAGATAGACAGGAACTTAACATAAGATAAAAAAGATAAAAAAAGATAGAAAAAGATAGAAAAAGATAGCATGTGCACAATTTTGGCAATAAAACGAGAACAACATGAGAGTGTGGCGGTTGGGAATCGCCGCATAAACTTGGTCTTAGCTGATACATGGGTTGCATTGATTTTAAGAAGGTTCGGCGGCCCGTCGGGTTGAACTGTGCTTCCTTCAGCACAGGTTGCCTGCAATCTAGACACATTGGGCGGCTCTTTGGGTTGCCCTGTGCAGATATAGATCATCGACGGCGGACATATACATCAGTTCGCTGACCGGGCAGCAAACATGTCTTTGACGAGGTGCATCGGGGCTCATGAGCAATGCCTCGTTTCTGCAAAAGCCCCCTGTGTAGCTGCGTGGTGACCGGGAAGTTTGGACACTGCTGCCGATTCTGTCCGCACGGACACTCCGCCGGGTGCCTTCGCCGACAGGAGCGACGAAGCCGTGTGGGCGACACGGTGACGGCTTGCTTGTCCGTGGGCTGTCTGCGGTTGGTGGAGCCTCCTCACCGGCGCTGCTGCAAGCATTGCCCTGTCGGACACTTTGACCGTTGCCAGGATCGAGCGGAAGCCTTGGCTGCGGAAGCAGAAGTTCGAGCGAGGCAAGGCAGTGGCGGCAGCAAGGCAGGCGACTCCAAGCCTTCCTTCTCCTTGGAGGAGATGGACTGAGGAAATATGTATATATCTTGTGACGGTGCCGGCACCTGCAGCATGCAATTGTCTGTTGTGTTTTGAAAAAGACGAACCTTTTGCACGTGCAGGATCTTGCAAGAGGAATGGCATCATGGTCAAGGGCGGATCCATGGTCCGCCTGCAGATCTCGTTCGCTGGAATCTAGACGGCGGATGGCAAGCGGATAATGTTTATAGGAAATATACAGGTCTGTTAGCCTCCATGTCGTTCAGAGTTGTCGTTCGCTGGATCCATCGGCGGGCTGTGATGCATGGGCTTGCATCCGCAACCTGCAAGTCATGGTTGCAGTGCCTGCAGTGCTGCAGCTCCAAGCTTGCCTTAGGGGCTCTCGGTGTAGCTTGGGCATGGCGGCTGCCTCGCACCTGACAGGCCTCTTGACGCTGGTGCCGCTGGTCGGCTCGGACTCGCCGCTGCTCCCGCCCCACGTGAAAAGGGTCAGCGAGTTGATCCTGACCAGTGCAGGGCTGGGAAGCCTGGAGAAAGAAGACCTCCGGAAGCGAGTGTTGGACTCCAACTTGCAGGACGAGCACAAGGAGTCGCTGGCGGCGGCACTGCAGACGGGGTTCGTGGCCAAAGCTGCGAGGTCGCCGCAGCAGAACTGGGTGCACCTCTTCCACTACTTGCCGACAGCTTTGGTGCAGTGGCTGCAGGAGGAAGAGTGTGTCGAGACCAAGACGCTTAAGGTCCTGTCCTTCCTCGCGGAGCGAGGACTTCACAGCCCTTCTGAGCCAACCTTGGCAGTGGTGACGGTTCTGGTGAACTACCAAAACCAAGGCCAACTGCTGCAGCCGTGCAGCTCTCACGACCTCTTCTTGAAGTGCAAGTGCAGGGCTCGTGCCTTCCTGGACCGGTTGAACGGGAAGAAGCTTCCAACTGGCGGCCTGCAGGAGCTGCCCTGCGACCCTTGCTACCTCGCGGCCCCCAACGCCTTCTTCCAAGAGAAGCCCTTGAAGCCTTCTGTTTGGCCTCCAACCTGGCAGAACTTCAAAGCTCTGGTGGCTTGTGTGCCCTTGCGGTCGAACCACGGGGAGTTGGTGTCGGCTAAGCGCTACAAGCGGCAGCTCAGCCGCAGGCAGACAGACGTGGCGGCAACTTCTTGTGCGAGGCCGGCGTCCGTGCAGCCGGTGCCTCTGCAGGTTGTCGAGAAGCCCTTGCCAAACACGGCTGTGCTGCAGGAGGCCCCCCAGGTTCCGGAAAAGCCCGTGCTCCAAGAGGCCCTCCAGCTTCCGGAAAGGCCCGTGCCCCAGGAGTCCCTCCAGCTTCTGGAAAAGCCCGTGCTCCAGCTTCCGGAGAAGCCCGTTCTCCAGGAGTCCCTGCACCTCGCTGAAGAGTTCGTGGTGCCGAAGACACTCCAGCTTCCGGCTCGCTGTGTGCCGCAAGAGACCCTCCAGGTCCAGGAGCCGCCGCCCCTGGCAGTCCAGCCTCTACAGGACTCCTTGCAAGAGCCCTGTCAGCTTGCACAGGTTGCTCTGGAGGAGACAGCTGTCCCGAAGCTGGGGAAAAAGAGGAGTCTGCTGGAGAGTGTGGCCGACCTAGCCGAGCTCAGGAAAAACAAAGCCGCGAAAAAGGCCACGGAGCCGGCAGAGCCGAAGGAGGCAGAGGCACCTGCTCCAAAGCGAAGGGGGCGACCTCCTGCAGGCCCACAGCGGGCGTCCTCGCAGAAGACTGCCGCAGTGGACGTGGGACTGGACAACAAGGGCGAGGAGCAGGGCGAGGAGGCGGAGCAGCAGCTTGGCAAGCAGGGCAAGAAGCAGGGCAAGGCCGCCTCGCAGGCGAAGAAACACGAGGGCGAGAAGCAGCAGCACCAGAAGCCCGCCTCGCAAGTGAAGAAGACCCAGCAGCAAGACGAGAAAAGCGAGAAGGCCGAGAAGAAGCAGCAGCACCAGAAGCCTGCCTCGCAGGTGAAGAAGACCCAGCAGCAAGACGACGAGAAAAGCGAGAAGGCCGAGAACAAGCAGCACCAGAAGCCCGCTTCGCAGGTGAAGAAGACCCAGCAGCAAGACAAGAAAAGCGAGAAGGCCGAGAAGAAGCAGCAGCAGGACAAGAAAGGCGAGAAGGCTGAGAAGAAGCAGCACGGCAAGGGGGGCAAGAAGGCTGCTGAGAAGAAGAAGCGCCAAAACACAACCCCCGAGGACCGTGAGAAGTTCCTCAAGACCTTGCCGCCAAAGGTGCTGAAGGCTTTCGCGAAAGGCTGCTCCAAGTGCCGGTGGCGCCCGTACTGCACGGTTTGCTGCTGGAAGCACCGTGGATACTGAAAGGTTCACTCCTGCAGCACTCGAAACTCTAAACTCTGAAACCCAAACCTTTAAGCGATAACGAAGCAGGATGATCGCTTTCAGATCCCGGA